AGGGTAGGGACAGCTCGGGGCGACTGAGACGCCCCGCTGCCACGTTGTGTGACAGCGGTGTCACAGGATACGAGTAGTCGTCTAGAGTTTCCTATCCCTGCTGAAGGGAACGAGTCCATAGCCAAAGATCGCTGCCTAGTAGAGTTGGTGCCCAAGACATAGGGCAAGGCATAGGCTGGGCCAGTTGAACAAGCCGTTCGGGGGGGGCGTGACGTAACGCGGTCACGCCCGACGGTTCGGGGGTCAAGGGGAGTCGCCCCGCAACAGGGGCTGCGGGCCCGAGACCCCTGGAGCGCTTGAGAAGGGTTGCCAGTCCAAGGGGCGACATATCTCCTTTCCTGGAGTAACGAGTCGCTGTGGCTCCTAGACACCGCGTGACGGCGCGGTGTGACGCGTGACATGCGGGCCCGATCGGGCCCGCACCCTCCCATCGCCCCGTACCAGGGGAACCCAGAGCTTGAGGCCAGAGAGCAGGAAGAAGTGGCTAGGACAAGGGTGAACATAAGAGACAAGAGCCTGAGCTGTCCAGCCCAACCAAGGGCTCAGGTCAATGAGGCAAGCTAGCCTGGGTGTTGGAAGTCGTCTAGACGCCCCTTTCCCGGGTATGGTTGCAGCAACCCCGCTCTAGGGGACCAGGCCGGAGTAGGGTTCAAAGGAAGAGACTTCAATGCTAAACCTAAGGTACAGGAGTAATACTCTGGTCTTTATATACTGTGGGCGCTAGGGGCAGAATGGAGCAGGGGATGTCTCTGGTCGTCCCTGGTCGCTCCGCTAGGAGCCCAGGGACCATTCCTCTGGAAAGGAGCCATGCCAATGTCGACACTAAGGAGTGTTTGACAATGCAACAGTAAGGAGCTCCCTCCTGGACCCTGTGGTTGTCTAGGGCCGATTGGGCCCGCTGTCAAGGGCGTCCGGCGGCGCATCATGATCCCTGATGGCGGGTCATGATGGCTTGATGGCTGACTAAAGCGCGATCCGTGATTATGTCCCTTCTCTGGGATATTAGTGTTGTTGCTCATTGCTTTGAGCTTGTGAATTATGAGGGCTTGTCAAGCCCTAGGGCTCTAAGGGTGGTCAGGGCCCGATGGGCCGTATAGGGCCCGTTGGCCCGACCCGAACCCTGACAGACATATATAAGAAACCTTGGATGTCACGTCATATACCACTGTCACATACCAGTATCACATCTTATTGTTAGGGTAAACCTGTATAACAGGCAGGACAGGGGTTATAGTGCTCAATATAAGATTATTGTTAAGTTACCATACCTTAGTATCTACCAGTCACAAAATGTCACACTGACCTTGTGCGATAACACACAAAATGACTTAGAGCCTGGGGTCCCAGAGATATTGCAGTTTTATAGCCCCCTTTATTGCAGCATAGGGCTTTTTTATATCATCTCTTCTAATTAGAATGGTCACCCGCATGGGTGGTCCATTCTAATTAGAAAAGATAATTGGGATTAACAGGTGATCTTGAGGCAGGATGAGGTGACAAGGTAAGGGTCAAGCGGACCTTGAATCGATTCGCGGCGCCTGACGGCGCATCTCCATCACAATGGGCACCAGAGTCCTAACAGAATTGATCAGCGTAAATTTGGCATGGAGGGTAAGACTCACTCGATGCGCCTGACGGCACATCTCGGTCGCGATCGCCCAGGCAAAAGCAGTTCCGCGACAGAGCGCAGACCTTGCAGCTTTGAAAGCCCAACCTGTATGTTTGCGTCCGGCGGCAAAATCCTAGAAAAAATCAAGTCAATTGAGCGAAAAAATAGCGACAGAATGACATACCAAAATCATTGGGATTGATCGGATTATGGCGGCATTGATGCGCAATCAGCGCCCAAAGGCGCTGGCGAAGGTGTATTTAGGCAAGCGTTGGGCTGACCAGGAGGCAGCCACGGGGGATGCAAAGCCACGGAGCGGGAGTGAAGAAGGCGGCCTCGGTGGGCGGAGGTGTATTTGGGCAAGCATTGCGCTTGCCACACCGAGAAGTCTGAGGGAGGATGACCGCCACGGGGTCAAGCCATGCCGTGACATCTTTGAGGCAAGTGGTGCAAGGGCAAAAGCCCCAGCAACTGAGGCGGCTGTCGGAGAGGGCGTATGTGCCTCTGGCAGGTCAAAATCCTGTGAAAAAAAGTCGATTATTTGCCATACCCAGAACAGGTCTGAAGCTGCTTACGCAATTTCCCAGCGATCCCCAGTTTTCCAGTTTTGCGTGGTGGAACTAAGGATTGCGGCCAGCCGCCGCAGTAACGTGGACACAGCGAAAGGTTCGTGCGACGTCGTCGACTGCAAGAACAGGTTAGATGAGCAGGAAAGTAAGATGGCAACAACACACCAGCCGAACAACACCATCAAATGTCGCAGACGCGTACGTTAGGTGGCGGTGCTGCGGTTTTGCGGGTTGTCGTTGACGGGAATGGCAACACAGCGTCGGTTGCGGGACTGAGCCGAAAGTCGAGTGGGATTCTCAAGTTGAAGTTGTCCGTTGGCCACTCGCGGAAGAGTCTGAGCAGTAGAAAGGTTTGCAGGTTGTCGTTGACGGGAATGGCAACACAGCGTCGGTTGCGGGACTGAGCCGAAAGTCGAGTGGGATTCTCAAGTTGAAGTTGTCCGTTGGCCACTCGCGGAAGAGTCTGAGCGGTAGAAAATAAGCCTCATTCCGCGTACTAGTACTGACGTTGTATTAACTATATGGCCAATGTGAATATGTTATACCTAGGCAGCAAGCAAAGCAAAGAGCAAGGCAACTCAGAAACAGCCAATTTGTTGCAAAATTTAACCAACAAACGGCACCTACCGTACAACAAAGAGAAGCTCGATTGAGTCGTCGAAGAGGCAGTCACACTGACAGGAGGGATCATTTCAGCGTCATATGTTTGTACATGTTTGTTTTTGTCAGATTACGTTACAATAACCAGTCTCCAGGACCTAGCTAAAGCAAGGTGATATATATATATAGCATATTTGCCATTTGAATTGAGTGAAATAATACCATATAGTGCTAGACCATGATCAGACCATAGTCAAATGGTGATATGACCATGGTCAGAATTTGACACTTTGGGATAAAATTTTGGAGTTAGAATTCGATCGTGGAGTAATATCACAAAGCCAACCACAGACCTCAGAGCTGGCAGCTCAAACCTCAAACCTCACCAATCTTGCACTGCAACCTCAAATACAACCATCACAAACCACAAAATCTTGTGAATGTACCTCACTCCTTATCTCAATAAGCACTGAATACAAGCTCATATTTTCCAATGAAAAAGAAGGTCATATGTCTCCATGTCGTGCTCTGCACTCGCTGCCCCCCGGCTGACGGATCTCCTCCTCGATGGCGACTTGTTCATTTATTGGTGGTACCAGGCCCAGTGGAGCAAGAAGTATACCTTGATAATTGTAAGTGATTCATTCACTCATACTGCAGACAGTATGCTGATGAGACATCTACCAGGGAAGGATACACCTTATCGCAGGGTGGAAGGCACAGGGAAAATTCAAAACTTTCTTTTCCCATTAAAAGAAGAATTAAAATGATGTAAACATTTTAATTCTTCTTTCTATAGGGAAGAAAGATCATATATCTGAATTAGCATAAATAGTTGCTTTTCAAAGATATTTCCCTTGTATGGAAAGGACCTGTTTCAGGAAAAACTGAAATGTCAATTGAAAGTTCATCTTTTCAATACAGATTTGTATACCTATTTCTTTGTCGTAGAAAGGAAATGTTTTTATTTTTTTCACAAAGAAGCTATTTATATTCATGTTTTCATGTCAATGAAAATAACATCTTTATATCTTTGGCAGAAAGGACATCATTTGTTTCCCCTTTCATACAAGAACAAAGAGCATCTTTCTGAAAAAGTCAGAAAGATGATGTTTCCTTACCCCTTTCATGCGATCAAAAAGCACACCTTTCTCTTTGTCTTGAAAGATGTTCTTTCTATCTGCTAACAAAGGTGCATATAAAGAAGACCTTTCTAAAAATGGCAGAAATATCATCTTTTATACCACAAATAAAGAGGAATATAAACCACATATTTTTGAAATGAGTGAAAATATATTCTTTATAGTACACAGAAAGGGGTATTCAAAGCCATATGGAAAGGTTAGCTTTTCAATAACTTTTCCATCCCTGTGAAAGACATTCTTTTTGTTCTTACAGAAAGCTTGATAAAGAAGAGTCATTTATGAAATAATTAATATATCATATTTCTTGGTTGAGGAAACATGTATCTAAATATGTACATTCAATACATGTTTAAAAGGGAAAAGAAATTTTTGAATTTCCCGTGTGAGGGTTAACAGAACGCTGGAGCGTTGCTGAATTCAAGGATCAATATCGTAGAAGGAGGTCTCCCCCGCTAAAAATATAACATGCTATCATACTGGCAGATGAAATCTACTCTTGATACTAGTCACTCATTATTGATAAATCAAGTTGCTATACGGGCTTGATATGGGCCCTGCTTTTCTATTACTATTTCTCACAAAACAAATAAATCCTACTTTAGAAACAATTTTGGTAGAACCCTAGTGTGAGTTGGTGTTTGCCCAAGTTCACAAATAAAATGGTCATTCCAATGTTTGTTTGATACCACTTGGAAACATTTAGAAGTGCAGTATATAATGCTAGCCATTCTGTTCATGTTCAGATGATCCCAGCAACTATATAGCTAGACAGTTTCATTGTGTCTCTACTACTGACTGACTTGTGTTTGTATTAAAACCTAGGTCGTATCCAGTTAACCCCAAGCTAACGACAAAGAAAGAAAAACAAAGGAGAGAAGAGAAGAGCAATATGCAAGTACAATTCCAAAAACAAGCAAAAAGGGACGTGGAGCAAACGGGAAAGCAGGGGGGGAATGGTGCGTGATTACAACAGGATCCATGTATGAGGTGTATAACTTTCGTAGGTATAGATGCCGCATGGAGAAGAGATATGAAGAGAGCGAAAGGGACTACTAGTTTTCAGGGTCGCAGGCCACGTTAATGCAGGTTCCACGCCTTCTTGACGATGTCGGCGGCGCGCTCCGCGAGAATATAGACTTCGCCTTGGGGGAAGCTCGCGGGGGCAAGTGGCTAGTATCAAGTGGTTAGCGACACCAAAGAAGAAGAGACCAATATACGCACCAATACACTAGCGTCCACAACCCGGACGCCAGTCAATCCCTTAACCAACAGCGACCCGTCAACGACGCCCGTCCTGTCTGACCCTTTCGAAATGCGCGCCGTCCCTACGGGATGCTTAATCGAATCAGCATATTTGCGGATATATGCGGTCAGCGCGGCGTCGCTCGCCAAGGCTGCTGCGGTTTCGGGTGCCGGGCTGACAAAGTACCCAGCAAAGGCCGGGGTCGAGAAGAATGCCTGGGCCGTGCGGGCGGCAGCGACCATGGTGCCGATGTCAAAGGAGGTACCGAGGAGGGCGTTGTCGATTGCTGGTTTCGCAAACGCGGAAGAGGAGGTGATATTAACGGAGCCAACTGTTGTGGGGGACTGCAGCACGAGCGCGACAGTATTGAAGCTCCCGCTGGCGGGCGCGGCCTGTCCGGGGTTGCCCAGGAAGAGGTTCAGGAAGGCCATCTGAAAGTGCGGCGAGCCGGGCCCAGCTGCGGGGTCCGGCCGGTTGGCGAGGAGCGGGGAGTTGTTTGGCAAACGCAGGAAGGCGATGGTGTTGACAACGGTGTTGCCCGCAGCAAAGCCAGTATGTGTTGCCTGCCATTCAGCGAGGGCGCCCCCGAAGGCGGTCGCATTGGCGAAGAAGGCGCTGAGGGTGGAGAAGGCCGGGTTTACCTCCCACTGGAGGTTGAGGATCGTCTGGTCTTGCAGATTACGGCCCACATCGGGATTGTCAAGGACAGTCGGAATGCCTAATGGCCGGAGCTGCGCTGATGGACCAATACCAGAAAGGAGAAGGAGTTGGGGCGTGCCAATACTGCCTGCAGAAAGAATGACCTCTTTGGAAGCGGTGAATGAGAAGCTTGCAGCTTGGAGCAAAGTAAGTTTGGGGATTAGTTATGAAGAACTCCACACACCCTGGGCACCCTGAGCGACCTGGACTCCTCGGAAAGTCTTTGACGCTGTCTGAACGAGCTTAGTGACTTGCGTATTGATTAGAACGTCGAGGTTGCTTCGTGTATTGACCGCTGGGTGAAGGTATTTCGATGCAGACGTGCTGCGCATGCCATTGCCAACAGTGGTCTCAAGCCATGCTATAGGAACGTCAATTCAGTGTGGCGCCAAGTAAATCATACGCACAAACACCATTGAGCACGCCCGAGTTAGGGTCCAGGTTGAAAGGGAAGGCGTTCGGGACAGTCCTCGTGTTGGCCATGACGCGATTATCGAGCTCAAAAACTTGTGGAGTAAGGCCTGTTAGCAAAGGCCCGTTTCCATGCCAGGCAGGGTCGTACTGGCCCACGTTGGAGCGGCCGTTCCACGGAGGACTGTGTTGCTCGTTCTGCCCAAGTATTACTCAAATGTAGCAACAAGAACTATAAATGCGCACCTTGAGCATGTAGGACTTGAGATTCTTCCATGACCACCCTGCATCTCCGGAGACGGTAGCGAGACGGTTATACTCGTCGGCAGAGCCACGCGCATATATCATGCCGTCTAGATGGCTTTCAGTGAAAGGGGGAGGAATTCAAGGGACATAACACACTGATGGCGCTGCAACCACCCAGCACCTTCCCTCGCGGGACATTGACCGTCCGTCCGTTGAGCCCGGGTTGCGGAACGGAGGTGTACTCTGCGCGCAAAGAGTGAGTTTGATGGAAGGACTGTTCAAGACACATACGCCAGTCGATATCCGTTCCAAGTGCCGAACCCGCCAATAGTGGGGTGTAGATGGCGTCAAAAAAGGTGGTGTTGTCGAGCCCGCCGGCCTCGATGACCAGCACGTTCACAGAAGCGACTTCTGAGAGACGGGCTGCTATAACGCTGCCAGCCGTGCCACCTAACGCACTGGTTAGTATAAGAAGGGGAAGCCAACACCAAAACCCACCGCCAACGACGATGAAGTCATACTTCTTCGTAACCTGGCTGGGCGACGTGAAGATTTTGCCAGCGCTGACGCTGACGAGCGCGGTCGCGAGGAGGACGAGGGACCGGATGGAAATGGGCGCCATTGGACACACAAGTCGGGCGCAGAGAACGAAGAGGGGGGGGATGGGAAGGGAAGGGAAGGGAAGGAAGGGACGGTAAGGGAGTGGACCGAGTGGGGGTGGCTATTTACAGGCCTTGTCGGTTGTGGCTGGCTGCTCGCGTGCCTGCGACTAGCGCGTAATTGCAATAAACCAGTTATGCGCAGGGGTCGATAGCGCAGGAGACAAGCGCGTAATGTGTGGGCGCTAGCGACATTTTGACTTTTGAAAAAAAAAGTCGCTGGTCGCGATGGCGGTTTCTGGAAGAAGGGCAAGGGGCCATCAGAAGCCCATCAAAGCATTACGAACGGCTTGCGTTGATACCCGGTGTCAGCCGACCCGCCCACACGGCGGTTGATCGGTCCTAATGACCGATGCCGACCGCGCATTGCCAGATTTGGCCTGATTATGCGCACCGCCGGCCCAGGGCGATTCCATTTCGCGTGGTGCTCCCGCGGAGGCAAATAACCGTCGGTTTACGCGGCGGAGGGGTCTGGAGAGCTCCGCTGGGAGAGTGACCGTCCGAATTGCTCAGCGACTGCCACGGCGAGGGTAATTTGAGCGTGATCTGCCTGCGCCCTAGGCCCACAACTAAATTCAGGGCCTTAGCCTCTTAGGCTTTCCTTACCATCACGGAGAAGAGAAGCATTTAGCTACGTATATACGTGTGAGCGGAAGAGTGCAGAAAGCGTCAATCCTCTCGACAATCTGCATCTAGCGGCTGCAATCACAATTTGCGAGGGAATTTTCTATCTGCGTGTGCGCCGTTACGGCTTCAATATTGAACAGGGAAACCGTAAAGCAGTTGAGAAGCCGAATCGTTCTCGTCGGGCGCGGCGGACTACTTACCAAGGCCCAGAAGAAATTCGATGCAGGCTTCCGTGGAACGAAACCGATTCAATCCATGTCAAATATGGCAACTCCGTCCCAGCGACTTGACCCATGGTCTATGGTCTTGATGGGATCAGGGACCTGAATTTCCGGCCGTCGCCGATATCCGAGTCCGCTTTCAAGATGTAGCATCTGAGTCGTACAGTATTACATACGCGTCCCTGACTCTGCGCATGAGTGCATTGGCAAACTATGCTCAGGGGCGTATTTGAGAAGCCGCTCGAGTCAAAGGCGTTATTAGATGCGGCCAAGGTAACCCTAGCTTCGTTGATTTACCGGTGTTACTTTCCGATCTAATCTTATCTAACGAGGCATTGCTGAATCTCTTCCGCATTTCTTTGCAATGATCAAAAAGCACTTGCTAACACCACACACCTTGAGTGAAGCCTCTGAGTTCCGCAGTACAGTTATGTAACAGGTATTTACCTCTGGTAAGATCCTTCCAAGGTCTATAAACGAATGTATGTACTAGAATAGAAGATGTATATAATGCAAAACCAATAATCTCACCGACCAAATGCGAGCCCAAGGATATGTATGGTAGTACACGCGGAGGAAAAACGAAAGAATGAGCGACGAAGCAAAGCAAAAAGGGAAGAAATGGTTGGCGATTTTTTTTGGCGGCCGAGCGTTGCGTGTGCTCAGAACGCAGCCGGGAGCTTTGCGTCCGCGTGGCCGTAGCGGTCTTTCTGGTCGCTCTGCGGGTGCGGTTAGTCGCCAGCGCAAAAAAACAAGCAAGCGAACTGACATCGGTAGTCACCCTCGTTACTGTCGAGATCTGGACCTTCCTTTGCACGCCGCTGCTTTCAAGGTCGCGCTCGTTGCTCCTTTGCCCACGCCAGTTCATCTCGTGTGTACCGTGTGTACCTTCACGGTCACCCGAGGCAGCGTTGAGGCCTGATGGCGTGCCCATAACCGCCCGAGCATTGAGCGTCGCCAGGAGCACATTGGTGTACAGCTTGCCGAGCATGAAAGCGCTGCGAGACATATGAGTACTCTCCTGCAAGACAGAAAGAAAGAACACGAACGGCGTCTGGTGTAAATTGGTCTGCGAAGACACGATGAAGAGCGTAACATCCGCAACGGCGACGATCGTGGTAATCGCGCCAGTTTCGATAACATTGTAGATGAGCTTGGTGATGATGGAGTCGGTACGCTTCCACGGAGTCTTCATGCGGTATTGCGTGAGCTGTAGAAGAAGTCAGTTCTATCCCTCGACAACAAGAAAGTGCACCGACGATGATGAGCATGGATATTGTGATAAGTACATCGCAGACGGCGGAGCCGATGAGCCACACTTTGACACCCGTCATGAGAGGGGGCAGTTTGGAGAGTTCGGTGGTGACCGCAAACAGCCCATCCGTGACGAATGCCGCGAGGCTAGACATAAGTCCGAGCTAGGAGATCGTTAGTGGGCGTGCAGCAGAATTGAAAGAACAAAACTGGCCATGACAATGAGAACGCACACCAGCTTCGCCAGAAGGTGTTCTCCTTTCAGCGTATATATCCGCCTGGCAGATAGTTAGAATGGAGGCAACAGCGACATAATTATAGCGGCTCACCAAGCGAAGAATATCTGCACCGTTGCGCTGGTAATTCCTGTGAATATCGGTGTCGCGAGACTCGACCATGGCAGTTTTGCAAAGACGGCGGGATTGCCCCAGCCCAGAACGAGTAACGAGTACGCAAAATGCGACGTGACGCCCGTCTGGGTACATTCGAGGATGAAGAGTGTGTAGACTAATCGGGCAGAGTCAGCCTGAGGATCAGTCGCTGTAAGTCTCGGCACGCACCCATCGCCTTGATCCATGCGCGCTCTTTCGGGAAGCAAACAAAAAACTTGTAAACTTGGAGAGTAAGCGTGCCGAGGAGGAGCCAGTTGGCCTGAGTTCCAGCGAGCTACAAAACCCGGTTAAAGCATGGACGTGTGTCTGAATGCGAGGGGCCCTACCATCGGACCGGTCAATAACTCCAGGTCTGCCATGGCGACTACGTGCAAAAGAGGATCAGAGAGTGGTTGGTGGTGGGAGTGGGATGGGGAGGTGGGGAAGGGTTGCAGCCAAATCCACAGTCTGTGACGGACCGCTCTGTAGATATAGGCCCAAAAGAGGCGTCGGCTATCGCTTATTCTTGGTGGACCGTGGGGCGAATTCGAAAAAAAGTGCGCGAAGACCGAGAACCCGCCAAAGCCGATTGAATGCGCCCTTGGTCAGTTGCTGAGTTGAGTATCGATCTTGTACAGATCCTGTCGCTGTCGAGATGAAAATTTTTCGAAAGCGCATCCACGCGCCCATGCTTCTTCCTGGCCTGGTCTAGGAAGGTTACATAACTGCTAGAAAGGGGGCAATTTTAGCTGGGAAGCTATGATTGTAATGTTGATATTACCGGGGTCCGGCACAGGCTTCAGTGAGTCGCTCTACCTCAGGCTTGTTCACGGCCGCATACGAGAGGTGGCATAGGGATACCGTGGAGCAAGTTAGCGGGGATGTTTCTTTCTTTTCGTTCGCCGGGCAAACTTGAAGGAAAGGAAGAGGGCGATGCATAAGTACTAGTCACGGTATGGGCCTGGTTACCACTTCGCCGCGGCTACTATATCCCTTCTAAGAACCGACATTGTATCTCGCGACAGCCGACCAGGAACGGACATCCGAACAATTCTCAGTTCAGACGGTGCGGACTTGGTGTTGACAGTTGACCGCGGCCAAGTGGGGGGGAAAACTGGAACGAGGGCTTCAAGTTGTTGAGGGTCCTCTAGGGGCGTGGGTTGGCATTGAGCCAAGACCAGTCCGTTTCAGATGGCTTGACCTGACAAAAGTGTTCCGAAAGGGCACCAGCAGGAAGGTGACGTGTAGTGACGTGATGTGACGTGGCGTGATCTGTCATACTTTTAATCAACCCAATTTCCGAAACAATTTTGAATTGAAGTTAGAATCATAACCCACCTTCAATCATGTGCGACTCAGACATATTATTATGTATGTTCATTGAGCTTGCCATATATTCTCTACTGTACTACTTAGTATCACATCTTCATTGAAGTTAGACTTAGTTAGTTATGGTGTGTGGTCAGTACCTATCCTGTGAATGTCGTTTTATGCTTCAAGCTGAGGTATCCACGAACTTCACATACTGTGCACACCATTTATCCGCACTTTGACGGCCATCTTGGGTTGTGATGTGAACGGCTCTGCATCCAGGTTTTCTAACACGAGCTCTTCAACTCCCGCAGCAAACGCCGAAATGACGCGGTCCTCTATTTCAGCGGTGTCGATTTCTCTGAACGAGAGATACTGGAGCGGCGGGAAGCTGACGTTGCGAATGACGGTTAAAAGCATGGCGAGTGCGTGACCATGGATGTTTGCAATCGTGATGCTTTTCAAGGCGGATGAACTGAGCACGGTTCCGTAGAATCGAGAGAGTGCTTGGACGATGTCGAATGACGGGGCCACCAGCCGCGAGAGAAAGACAGTCGTAATGTGAGCGGGACTGAAGGAGGAGGAATAGGGTAGCCCGTCTGGCGTTGGACTGCTGGCGTCGAGGTGAATGCTCTGCAGAGAAGTCATGCTAGGTAAGCGAGGCTCGGTCGTGGCTGCCGGGTGTTGGAACGAAAGCAGTTTGTTTTCGTCCAGGATCGCCATTGACGATTCAACGAGTCTGATGTGCTGAAGCCCTCCTAGCATGCGCGAGTCTTCGACGTAGATCATCACTCGCTCGAGCTGTAGACAGCGAAACACCGCAGGTTCGAGGACGAATGGACCTAAGTGGTGGAGCTGGCCATCTCCGGTCTGGACAAGATGGAGGCGCTGGAGAAGCGGCATGGACAGGCCCTGTATGTGTTTCCGGATAAGGTGAAGCACTGGGTTGGTTGCGAAGACGGTAAAAGACCGCCACCGATGAATCTCGTGGACCAGGATCTCCAGGTGCTGCGTATATGTGGTATCAAAACGGTAGCGGAATGCCGGGAGGCGAAATTCGACATCGAGAGCCAACGACTGCGAGTGGTTGATGATATCCTGAAGAATAGACGGGTCTTTGTCATGACAAACGAGAATGCGCGTCCATAGAGCGGGGGTATTGTGCGCTATGTGCCGCCATCGAGGGCTTACGGCGGTAAAGCGGAGGCCCGGGAAAGGCGAGTCATCGCCGGAGAGCATGCATGCCATTATTTCGCCGATCAACTCGTCAGGTAGAGAGTCGAGCATGCGAGTGCGATCCAGCATGGTTGTCGAAGACAAGTTATTGCCACGTGTGTCGGGATTTGGAATTTAAAATCAGCGCATCATAATCTCGCACTGCCCCACACGTCATCGCCTACAGCTCTCTAACTCTTACCACCATGTCCCGCATCTTCAAACGAGCTATGAGTTCTAAGGGCGGCCACATGTCGCTCTCAAAGCTTCCGTCGCTGCCCACAGAACTGTTGCTGGAAATCCTAGCTGCCGCAGATGACGAAACCCTGCACGCGTTAGCCGAGGTGTCCAAGAAGTTTCACTGGCTGGCGAAGGAGTCCTTGCTACTGCGCCACAAGCTCGAGTTATTTACGAAGAACGTCCTCATATCATCCTCCGACGCTTTGCGCGCTCTTCGTTTGGCCCTCGCTCTCCGCGATCCAGATCCGAGTTCGCCTATAGCTAACCGTCGACCGCTCCACAAATTTGAATATGTCCCTCGGGACGGTCTGACAAATGGCGGAGTGGAAAACCTACGACGCTTGCAGGCGCTATTCAACCATCTCAGCCCCTCCGTCTACAGAATCTCCCACATCCTCCTCACCTTCGACCGAAATCTCATCAAACGACCTGTGACTTGGAATATGGGCGTGAACGTCCCCAGACTTCTCCAAGCGCTATGCGGACAGTCCCCTGTGGCGGTTATTGTTTCCAATACGGCCATATTCACCCACAAGGTCCGCGCCTTGCGGACGTGGAATCCGTACACTCGGGAGCCGTACTGCAAACTGGAGCTGCACGATGGCTCCAAGCAGTGGGTTGCCACAACTAATGCACTCTCTTCCATCGAGGCCGTATATCCGTTCGGTCCCGGCGATCCGGCAACCGCTGCAAAGAATACGAAAATTGCAGCATCGCATGCGCGGCGTGACCCACTATTACCGTGGACTTTACTCATCATCGACAAGACGAAAATCACGACCCTCTTGCTCTCCGTAGAGCTCACTTTCTCGGCCTGGACGGCAATACTGTCGGACCCCGGCTTAATACTCCCCGCATTACACACCGTCGCAATATGGTCGACCAAGATCACTCCGAGAGCTTCTGTCGAGTTCTTGAATCGACATAGCGCAACGCTGACGACACTCACCTACATGTCACCCGTCTTCCTTGCCAAGTACGACTACACAACCGCGCCTATTTCTTGGAAGAAGCTTCAGCGGCTGACGGCAGTCGCCCACTACATGAATGTCCTCAACACAAACTACAATTTGCCTTCCTTGACAATGGTCGAAATTTGGCCCAGCGACGTCGACACAGTGCGGAGCTCATTGGCGCCCGCTTTGCAGGCCGTTTCTCGTCTGCCGGAGCTCGACACGCTCGCCCTTTGGTCGCTCACAGAGCCGGATGTATCATTCTCGTGGCCCGTCTTGCCCAACGTCCGCACGCTCATACTTCAGAATGTCACCACACCGTTGGATACCACGCGCCTGATTGCGCTGTTGGCCAGCGCGCTCCCTGCGCTGCGCAGTTTCCAGGTCACCGGCGGCCCGCATACCCGGACGACGCCGGCACGGGAGCTTTCAGAGGAGATGAAGCGGTGGAAGGAGGACTTGCTGACCAAGATGGAAGACGCGCGCAATGAGATGGGCGATGTCCGCTGGAGCTTTGATTGAATAAACAACCAATTGAGTATTTGCTTCCAACTATCCGCTTGCGTCCAAAGGAAAGCATGCGCTTTACCGGTACCCGGGAAGGACCTTCAATCTCGTGTCGCATGACCAGCCCAATTCCTCGCCGACCGACCGAGAGTACTGCGAGAAACATCCGCCTCGGCTTCACTCGGCCTTGGACCATATAAAACACATTCAATGGCTAGAAAACAAGAGACATAATCGCATATCGCCGACAACCGCGACTGCTCTGCATGCATTTTCGGATCCTTCTACCCTCCCTCTTTCTCCCTCTGGCCGCAGCCACCATTTCGCTCTATGGCCAATGTGGCGGCGACGGTATCGTGTGGACGGACAGTAGGTCTTCTCATGACCGTTTGACCCTCCTTCTGACATTCGTATAGCCTGCGCGGACGGTCTTGAGTGCAAATACCTCAATTATTGGTTTTCGCAGTGCTTGCTACCCGGGCAGCTCGGGGAGTGATTGGAGAGGGGCTTGGATATGGGAAACGCGACTATCGGGGTATATATAGGGGTCTCCTAGGTCTTTCGCCGGACACTCGAAGTTCGAACCTGCGAAGTTGGTCGAAAAATGAGAAAAAATTGAGAACTCCGGAGTCCCGGGCCGCAGTGATCAGGGAAATGACTTGCTGATACATTCGGAGTATCTTCTCTCTCTCATGATCTGGCGTCCGTTTTTCTCTCAGGCTGCTGTGTTTTTTCTGACCGGAAAGGTGCTTAGTGCGGGACGCCGTGTGGCTGGGCGGCCTTGTCTCAATCTCTCGGAAGCAGAAACTTGAAGTAATTCACGATTCACGATTCCACAATTTGCAGTTGCGGGATACAGTAAGCACACTGGGGCTGCCAACTGAAAGCCTGTGAGGTGCGGAAGGTACTGCCATATTTGCGCCTGTCACCGACTCGGAGAATTGACGCTCAACAGTAAGTTGCCTGCCTTGGTCGCTCAGGCTCTCTCAGCCGGATGCCGCACTATCCCAAGTTTTATGGCAGTGCGCAGCTGTGTGGTCACCCTTCAGGTTCCTGTTTCTCGAGATGTTATCTCTCATTCAACTTGTCCAACAACACTGCCCCCAGGAGCATCGCGATACTTACTACTAGTAGGATCAGTGGATCACCAAGTTGAACAGCATCTCCCTGGAAATCAACGGGCTCCCAACAGCTACTCGTACTACCTCCTATAGGTAGTGTGAACCGCCTTGTCGTTCATTCTAGCTGTCGACATCCACTCAGTGGGGGTGCCAGTGATTGCGCCGAATACTGACTCGGACATGGCCCCGGCCCATATGGCGCCGCACTGGCAGTGGAAATTCTTGAGCCAAATTATTGTCCTACTCCACGAGCACCGTTACTGGCAACTTTGAGCTACATATGAAGCTATACCTGAACTTTTTAAATATACTTGCTATTTTTGACGATGCAAACAGTCTGATGCCAAGTCCTCGGATCTACAATAGTGCTGTGTACCAATGGGATCTCATCATGATCATGATATTGGCCCGTTCCCTCACGTTTACTCTACATATAAGATTGATACTAGTAGATTCTTCGAAAATCCCCCAGACTGGTCTCTCGTGTTTCTTGCTTTCTCCTTCCACATGTTTCAGTCCCAGCAGACCCAAAACAATTCTTTTTCTTCAGAATCCCTGGCAAAACCAGATCATCCAGTATTGCCTCAACTCAGGACCAGGTTTGTTTATCATTACTGATATCATTTTCTCTTATGCCCTTCTTTAGGCGGATTCTATGGCCATTATTTATTGTTATTGGTCAACTCTCCCTCATGATCTTTGCTCTTGGACTTCTTCTGATTGTCCGTGCTCATGTCCAAATTCCTATGGGTGCCCTCGCTGTAGAGTTCTTTGAGATCAATCCTCAACTGCAAACATATATCTTCACAACATTGGCCACTGCTCTGTCATTATTTTCTTCCTTGTAAGTCAACTTGAACTTTATCTTATGGTCAATACTTAGAGCATTATCAGTCTTTTTACACAAGCAGTGACACATGGGCTTATTGTGGCCTTGACACATCCACTCCGTATCTCAACTCTAGGATTTGGGGTCAGGCTGTCAAAGAAGTCGCTGATCCTTGATATGAAATACAAATATTGGGCGTTGGCAAGTGCTGCTATCTTTCTGTTAGGGTTGGGTCAAACTCCTGGGTGACTAATTATCTCTTACAACTCTTTTGAACTACCACAGCTCATGAAATGATAGATGGTCTTCACTCCTCACCCCTGGTCACATTACAGTCTATGTCAATTTGACTGGAATTGAGCTGGATTTAAATCAGACCTCTGTGCAACTAGATATCAGCAAAAGCTGGGACAATCAGCTGTTTCCCATTAGTAAGTTAAATGGCAAGCCTAATGACAGTGCTGTTTCTTATTAATATCTAGTCAATGATATCAATGTTCTTCCCAGCTTACTTGAAGCTGGCTCTGTCTCAGTAACGGCCTCTGCTGGACATGCAGCCATTATTGAGTTTGGGGGATTTACATACTCTGGATCTACCAGTGTGTTATTGCCCTCAAAGCAGACAATGAATTAGTCACTAACATAAGCTATAGATGGGGTAACTGGGATCAATCTCAGGAGGAACAATACAAATAGCTTGAAGGCAACATTACCCAGCATCTTTGATGTTATGAACACTTCACCCTTTCCACCCTCAACTGACCTATCAAATGCCAAGTTTGTTATGCAGCAGCAAGGGGTTTTTGTGAATGTCTCCTGTCAATATTATGCATTCGAAGCTCTTGCTAGCAGGCAGCAAATTTCCCGCACTGGGACAGTTTTCCCAGTCCCAACCCTCAATGCAGACAATGTAGTTTGGAGAATTCAAAATGAATGTGGTAATGAACAGGGTAAAGCCATCTGTATGAAACCTTTTATTGATAACTCAAGTATTATTTGACAGTCTCAGTTACAGACTTTTACAATAACACTTGGTCACTAGTTGCTTGTGAAAGTGGCAACACTTTTGACCAACCTGTGTTTAGTATATCATTTTATCTATTTTATTTCATTTTTCACCTAGCCCCCCTCTTCAGATATGATTATTGATGGCCAGGGTAGATACCCAGGGGACTTTGCCTGTTCAATGACTACAGTGATTGGCGACACAATAGCAAATTATACAGCTATCACAGATGGTTATACCATAATCGCAGACTATGCTGGCTCATCCCTCACCAATATTGGTCCAATGGGTTATGCTGCGTTCAACTCAACAAAAAATGCATTTGGCTATGCACAGTCAGCAGATGGGAATATTATCGGTGACACACTACGAGCCCTTCTCTCACATCAAGGGACAACAAGTGAAGAATTAAACTTGAATGAGGATCAATTAAACCAATTTGCTCGTGCCTTGGTAGGATTTTAATAGGTGGAGACAAACAAAATACTTATATCCCATAGGAGGCATATCTTAGTGGAGTCACTGAGTTGACTGCTACTGTAAGTTGTAACCTTAACTTCACTTACTCACCCTAACTATTATAGATTGTCAAAGCAAATCTTGCTTATAACCTGGAGTCACAAGGCCTTCTCACACCTGATAAAATACGCAACATTACAGGTTATGCAATGGTAGACACAATTGGTTGGCAGTACAAGGCTGTCAGCAGCAATATTGTCATCATCCCAATCTTCATCTTTGGATTTCTTACAATTGGGATTGCAGTTGTGGCACAGTACTACAACAATGGAGTACTGCTAAGCCACTCTCACTTTGACCCCAATGATCCTTGGTCAATCATGGCAGCAGCAGCAGCAGGAGGAATGGAACATATCTTTCCTGGTGTACAACATAGAGATATAGAGCAAGGACTAGAGCTGAAGATTCAGTTAGGCCAGGTGGAAGGAAGGGATGGGTTTGTTGAAGGAAATCAGTAGAACAAATGTTCATCAATGTACTGTACAAGGAGCAGATTTCCTAACATATCACATTCAATTATACAGCAGTGATCTCATATATATCAAGTCTGATATCACTGTGTTTCTTTGTCATTTTTCCAGGTAAGGTAATATTTAGGGAATGAAGTTTCAAGATTAGTACACAGTCACCTTTATATCACCAGAGGTAGGGCTGGATACTGTAGTTGGTGCTGAGAATTGTTTGCAGACAGAATCATGGCTGTCATGCTCCAATTTTATTAGTTAATATATTTTGAAGTCAGAAATAAGTAGACTAAGCATTATTTTTGCTAATGAGGTGTTGTATATACTGCAAGTCAGCTTAAAAATAGACACTACTCAGGGTTGCTAGGCAGAACCCTGTAAACGTTGCAGGCATCCCTGCCTCCAGACAATTGGATTTCCACAGACATGACCCAGAAATTACCTTATTTGTCACAAACAACACCAATTCGAAGGTGGCCCAGTTAGCCAGTAAAGGCAAGCAAGAAGCACCATGTCAGGCTTCAGGTCGGGCCATGCAAGGCTTCTCCTAAGAATGCGCACCCAGAACAGAACAGATGAATCGTCGGGCCTGCAAGCGGAGCGAGCAGGGTAGATTTGAAGGTTCAAATCGAGTCATTTCAGGCCTGATAGGTCAGCAATACCTCCTTGCATGGAGAGAAGCGGTACTTTAGACGATCTCAGCGATAGAGTACATAGTACACTATTGCGCTCTATATATGTGGGCCCGCAAAGGGGTGATCAGACACCCTGTCTTCTCCTGCTCCTCCTTGCTCCCATTCCTGGCCGCAGAGGTGACGATCATATATTCCTTGTGGGCCAGGCACTACTCCGAACCTCCTAGCACTCCTTCTCAATCCCCTGGTGTCGAGTTGGGCTTTGCAATGGCTCTGTCAGACTGTGGGTCGGGCCGTGCAAGGTCTTCTCCTGAGAACGTGCACCCGGAACAGAACAGACAGATCGTCGGGCCCGCAAGTACGGCAAGCGGGGTAGATTGAAACCGAAAGAGCCTGTCAACTCGGTCCCTTGTCGCTGTCGGTGGTCGAAGGTAAAAAGAGTCTAGCTCTGGGCTGCTTTTTTCATGGAAACCCTAATGTGACTCCTTTTTTAATGCACCTGTTTAGCCCACAAAGCACTGTACATTCAGTGGTATGTGGCAGGGTGGCACTGATAAGGCTCAGTTTTTAGTACCCATAAGAACTGTCGAGTTGAATTATCTACTTGAGTATAACAGTGTGCTTCAATAGTGCTCAATGCTTATTAAATGAACATTTATTAATAATATTAATATATATCTCATCACACGACCGTGGCACATCCGCTATTCCCAGCACACGACAGCAGTCAGGCCATGTTGCTGCTTTCCCACTAGCATGCTAGATGGGTCTGTATAGCTGGATCTCCGAGTGGTGGGAGGATTCCCTGTGCCCCCCTATTTATTGAAACGGTTGATCAAACATCGTGGTTGGGCGGTCCTGACTATTGGTGGTGATCAATGGTTGCTGGCTGCTTGGGGTACTAGTACTGTATCCACAGTGTGTGGTATCTCAAGCCTGCTGGCGCACTAGGTGGGTCCTGTCTCCTCGGAAGATCTAGTGCGGCCCTTTGTTTTAGTTTTGAATACAGGCCTCAGGCTACCCCCACTTCTTTTGTTGCTACTACTTATCATGTTGTTCAAGTGAAATCACTGGCCTCCGATCAGGCTCAGAATCTCCTTCCCTATATCTTGCCAAGTGCGTCATCGCCCAAGCAAACCCAATCCACATCAGCAGTCGATTGTGTACTAAACTTAGTAAACTAGAACAGTAAGTCCTAAGTACATGATCGATGAACAGATACAATACTAGACTAGTCCATTTAGTCTAGTAAACGATCGATGAACCTACTGCCTGGGAGCGACAGCATGATTGTCTGTAGATAGTCCGAGCCTTTGGCTACCACTATGCCCAACTTTGCATGGCAGTGCGCAAACACTCGGCGTTCGGCGCGGGCTCAGACATGATTCAATAAGCATAGGTAGTTTTTATTCCTTACTTGTGATACGGATGTAAGTATTGCACTTATGCAGTAACGTGTCGTGCATGGGCGCCAGCATAGCTGCAACGGTCAGTAGGATGTAGAATATGACAATAGGACAGACTCACCACTGCTCACTCAGAACATGCATGTCCACGTAGCCGCCGAAGCGACTTGAAAGAGCCCAAAAATTTGGTATACCACACAGCCGTGTAACCGCACGGACAGTACGTCCATACGCCACGAGAGATCCAAAAGGAACGTATAACTGCGGAATCTTGACGACGTCCACCACACCTCCGCATCCCGCATCCCACGGCCCAACATGCGCCTCATAACGCCCGCCAGGGACCTCTGACACCGTGAACAAGACCGCCGCGCCACGACTGCGCCACCGGTAGGGTGTACACCACCCAATAAGATGGGCCGGCGCCTAGCACGGCAGACGCAGCGCCAAGCCGACCGAGAAGACGGCGGTTGGTGAGGAGCACGGGGCATGGGCGGACGAGGCGTGGCCTCATCAGCAGCGACGGCTGGCAGGGCAGGGTCGCGCTGGCGGCTGGCTGCCCATGTCCAGTTTCCAGCCAGCAGGACTAGCACCGGGGCTACGGTGTAGCGGATATCCAGCAGCGCCGGCGCCAGCCGGTCCGGTCCGGGCCTCGATAACGCGGTGGGCGTTGGGCGCGAGAGGGAGGTGGGGAGTTCTCGCGAGTGAGGACAAGGGTGTCCTGTGCGGAGCGAGTTTCGTGACGTGGCTGTTGTGGTCAAGAGACGAAAAAATCACGCATCACGCCGTGATGCGTGACACCTGCTTTTGGCCCAAACCATCACGATGAGCTACGCGCGCCGCGGCAGACGCAAGCACACCGAGCCGCGCACCCTATCGAGTAACCTTGAGGGCCTAACACGCGTCGATGGGTCTGCCCGCTTCGCTTTTGGTCCGTCCTCCACCGGTATTGCCATTTTCAAGTTTCCTCACATTTTTTCTTCTCTAGGCGAAAGCAGCACGCTTGCTTCCATCTCTGGCCCCATCGAAGTGCGCATCGCCGCCGAGCAGCCCTCTACCGCAACATTCGAAGTCTCTCACCGCCCGCTGTCGGGAATCCCGGGCACCCAAAGCAAGGCGCTGTCAGCGAATGTCCGCGCAGCGCTCCTGCCTGCACTTATTCTCACCCAAAACCCGCGCACGCTTATCCAACTGGTCATCCAGTCACTCACTCCCACTAAATCGCGCCTCTCGGACACGCTCGTGGCCGCCTCAGTCAATGCCAGCACCCTCGCGCTGCTCGACGCGGGGTCTGTGCCCATGCGCGCCATCGTCTGTGCTGTCGCAATCGGACGGCTGACCAACGATAAGACGCTGCTTGTAGACCCGGACTCCGAGGAGGAGCCTCACCTGGACGCCAGTGGGTGCTTTGCGTTTGCATTTGGCCGCGGACCAGACGACGCACGGTGTGTGTGGGCCAATTGGCGGTCAATGTCCGGTGGTGCGGGGTATGACGAGGAGGAAGTAGCTGAGGCGAAGGAGATGGCGCGGGTGGCAGCAAAGAAGGTGTGGCGGCATGTAAAAGAGGTGTTTGGCGAGGGAGATGACGACGGGTCGGACGGGATGGAGATTTGAGGGCCGAGCAATAGGACGAATTCGAACGACGTAGACCTTTAATGAAACGCCGTCTTTAATCGAACCTTTTCCGATTGCGCACCCTCAAAATACTCAAGGATGCTAAAAACCAAGCAGAAAATACTTACCGCCCAAAGGCCGTGATCGCTTGCTTCCTGTTGGCTTCCGTTCCTGACAAGCGATTGAGTCGGATTGACGATACTAGTGCCTGCTCGGCAAACTTGAAGTTCCTCCCGATAGTATTATTAGACACAGGAATCCACAGCACAGTACATGGTAAATATATCTCTAGTCTCACGTGGCAGATCCAGGTATTCCTTGTAGCATGTACAGCCTCAACCTAGCTGGTGTTCTGGTTCCTCTGCAGTGTACCTTGTTATCCACAGTCTTTTCACTCTCCTCAATTTGGGAGGATGGTGAGAGGTGATTTGATCTTTGGGTCACTGCGGGAGGGCCTAGCACAACTCAAGGCGTATTAGGGTTTCTGGCGCGGCTCAAGGTAGGGTTTTTGTTCACTGGCAGGTTTTCTCATTGACTCAGTAACTGGACAGTCTGGAACTAAGTACTAGTATAGGCCAGAAATTTGAATCATAAATGAGTATCAAGGTCGCTGGCGGTCACCAGGCGGTGACTATACTAGTACTGTAGTATTTTATTCAATTCGGCACCCAAATTGGGTGTGACATCGGCGCCGAAATGAAATTTTCGGCGTCCGGCGGCTCCGAGTGTGACCGCTGAAAAATTTCGGCATATTATGGCGCGGCCCGCAGGGCCGCGGCACCCAAAAATGGTACATCAGCCAAGGGAATTCGGCATCTGGGCTGTGGGGTGTGACCGCCGAAAAAATTTCGGCATTTTGAGGCCGGTGTGACGCGTGACCGCCGAACTGAATAAAATGCTACAGTAGTTGGTCCCGGGCCCTGTAGGGGGCTTTTAGCAACTACAACCGGGCACAAATACTAGTAGGATTAGATCAGCTCCTGATTGTTGGTTTTGAAAGAAAGAAAACCCTTTCTAAGAGATCACTGCCACCGACAATGCTCATTTAAAGTTCATTCTGCCAGTGTACTAGTAGGCCCACCACAAACAAGTGAAACGAGTGAATCATGAGAAACTTGAACACGCAGAAGTAATATACTAGGATTATATTATTGGTTAGAAGTTTCCGCAATGCAACTAAACTTGTGAGGAAATCATGACCACGATGAAAAAATAAGTATGCTGGTATTGTTGCAGACGTGCGCAGGTAAAATTAAATGTAGCGTGGTTGGCAGAAAGAGGAGGAATATTATGGTGTGGTTCAAGCTTTAGGCAGGTTCCACGCGCTCTTCACGAGGTCCGCGGCGCGCTCCGCGAGGATGTAGACTTCGCCTTGGGGGTAACTGGCCGGCGCGAAGGGCTTGCGTAGAATTCAATTACTAATCATCATCAGCACGAAAGACGGGTACGCACCAGCACACTTGCATCCACGATCCGGAGACCGGAAAGTCCTTTGACCAACAGCGAGCCGTCGACAACACCCGTCTTGTCAGACCCCTTTGACATACGTGCGGTTCCCACAGGATGCTTGATCGAGTCGGCATACTTGCGAATATACGCGGTCAGTGCCTCGTCGCTTGCCAGGGCCGCAGCTGTCTCTGGCGCTGGGCCAACAAAGTACCCAGCAAAGGCAGGGGTCGAGAAAAATGCCTCAGCCGTGCGCGCGGCGGCGACCATCACCCCGATGTCGAACTCTGTCGCGAGAATAGCGCTGTCAATCGCCGGCGCTGCGAACGGCGATGACGAGGTGATGTTGACGGAGCCGACAGAGGTGGGCGATTGCAGCACGAGCGCGACGGAGTTGAAGCGCCCGCTGGTCGGGGGGGTCTGGCCGGGGTTGCCGACGAATACGTTCAGGAAGGCGATATGAAAGTGCGGCGAGCCCGGCCCTGCGGCAGGGTCGGGCCGGTTGGCGAGGAGGGAAGAGTCCTTGGGGAGGCGCAGAAAGGCGATGGTGTTGACGAGAGAGCTGCCCGCGGCGAAGCCGGAATGTGTGACCTGCCATTCTGCGAGGGCGGCCGCAAAGGCTGTGGCGTTGGCAAAGAAGCAGTCCAGGGTGGTGACAGCGGGATTGACCTCCCATTGTAAGCTAACAACTGCGTGGTCTTGCAGATTACGGCCCACGTCGGGATTGTCAAGCACGGGAGAAATGCCTAATTGCTGAAGTTGCGACGAGGGGCCGATACCAGACAGTAGAAGGATTTCTGGTGTGCCAATACTACCCGCAGAGAGGATGATCTCTTTGGTAGCAGTCAACGTAAAGCCTGCGGCTTGAAGCAGAATGAGCTCTATGAGTACCTACAAACAATTTCACACACATTGGGGACCTTGAGCAACCTGAACCGCACGAAAAGTTTTCGGCGCCGTCTGAATGAGTTTGGTAACTTGCGCGTGGATGAGAACGTCGAGGTTGCTTCGTGTATTCAGTGCAGGATGAAGATATGCCGATGCAGATGTGCTGCGCATGCCGTTGCCGACGGTTGTCTCAAGCCAAGCTACGTTGACTTGTGTCAAGGGCGATGTGGCTGTAGATATAATGCACGCACAAATGCCATTGAGCACGCCCGAGTTGGGGTCCAGGTTGAACATGGATTTTTTGGGCGGGTCCATAGTGTTGGCCATGACGCGGTTGTCAAGCTCGAACACCTTTGGTGACAAACCCGTTAATAAGGGTCCATTTCCATGCCATGCAGGGTCGTATTGGCCCACGGTGGGACGGCCATTCCAGGGAGGACTGTGCTTGTCGTTCTAGCACACGTCAGTGGGAAGCTCTGTGAAATTCCGGTCACGCACCTTGAGTATGTAGGACTTCAGATTCTTCCATGACCAGCCAGCATCGCCCGAGACGGTAGAAAGACGATTGTACTCATCGGCAGAGCCACGGGCGTATATCATGGCGTCTAGACAACCTCCAGCAAAAACTTGACAACACAGAAGAACATAACGCACTTATGGCGCTGCTGCCGCCCAACACCTTCCCGCGTGGAACAGTTAGCGAACGCCCATTCAGCCCGGGCTGGGGAACGGATTTGAACTCTGCCGAAATGGTGTCAGCGGGGTGAATTGAGCTTGGGGGGAGAAGATATACGCCAGTCGATGTCCGTCCCGACCGCGGACCCAGCAAGAAGCGGAGTATAGATGGTGTTAAAGAACGTGGTGTTGTCGAGCCCGCCAGCCTCGATAACGAGGACGCTAACGGAGGCGACCTCTGAGAGGCGTGCTGCGATGACGCAGCCCGCCGTTCCACCTGGTAAATCGTGAGGATCGGGCAGGAACAAAAGAGGACGGAGCAACGCACCGCCAACGACGATGAAGTCGTACTCCTTTGTTACCTCGCTCGGCGAAGTGAAGATTCTCCCAGCGCTCACGCAGGCAAGCGCAGTCGATAAGAGGACGAGGGACCGGAGAGATATGAGGGCCATCGCGCCCTAGTATGGGGCGGAGAGTAGCAAAGAAAGACAGGGAGGCAAAAGGTTGTCATATACATTGCTGCGCTAGCTTGCGACAGGCAACGGGGTGTACAAGCCAAGGGTCGACACTGGTGTCGATTTTCAAAATGTTGTGGTGGCGCGCGTGGGGCTGTGCCATGTGACAGAATGATCGGGCCCAGGCCATTCAGTGGGTTGTGCATTCCTCCGCGGATGCAAGTCTTGAAAAGAATGTAAGCGGCGGCGGGTGAAAGGATGAGAAAGGCACATACCCAACACGAAGCGGGAGGGTAAGGAGAGTCGAGCGATGAGTGGCATGCCCAGTTTGAGAGCTCCTTAAGCCGAATTCAGGGTCTTGACCTTTCAAGCATTTGTTTGAATCCTGAGTGACCCATCGCCATTGACAAATCCACCCTTCCCCCCCTATTTACCCAGGTAAACTTCCTGTCTTATCTTATCTACATGTATTCAAGGGGAGGCAAAATTTAGGGAGAAGCCCATGTAGGCTATATACATTGTACTGACTTGTTTTCTGGCTCCTCCCTCATATGAGGATGATCTCCATAATAACAGGACTGATCTGACTGAATGTGCAATATATCATAGAGACTTTACAAATTGGAAAATTAGATAGTATCAGTATCTGAAAAGAAAACTCACCTTCAGAAAATTTAAACTAGCCTTCAAATTTCAGGATCAAACTTTGAAAATTCTAAGGCTTTTGTTAGAAAAAATTGGTGAGTTCTCTTGTTGTACCATAGTAAGTAGCTGGCAAAATCTATTAATTAATACTATAGAATATTTAAACCTGGGGAATATATTTTCATTTCCTATTCTTAAATTCTGCTCTCTAATAGATGAACATTTGTCAAATATTCCACAAAGCTGAGTCTTAGTTTAATTACCATTTAGACCAGGGTTCTGGACAGGAGAAATAATCCCCAAAGGAGGATTTATTCTCAAATATACTGTGTTACTGGGTTTACATGATTGATATTGGAAGAATTTCTTTTGCATATCATACATATTTACATGAAAGCATGTCCCACAATGGTGATTTTATGTTGCTAGACACCTCTGGCACTGAGAGTGTGGAAGAAATGAGAGTGAGAGGAAAGAGAATCCCATGTGTATTCAGAGAGAATACATGCTATTTATACTACTACTAAAGTATCTGGTAAGTTCTACCAGATTCTACAACATTCTGACTTGACTAAGTCAGCGCCGGGCTGAATGATCCGCCCGGAGTTCGCTATGGTAAGCGGAATTACAACACTCCCCCTCGAACGAAGCGGCGGAGAATGCCTGGGGAGGTATTGGGGCAAGAGATGCCGCAGATGGGAACTGTGCCGGGTTAGCGGCTGGTGACGCAGATGTGGCCGTAAGCGCGATGTCAAGGAAAGATTCTTCCTGCGCGTGGCCGGCGAAGGTGCCGGGCTTGGCATACTTGCTGGTGCGAGGGCCGAGCACGATGTTGCGCTCTGAGATGTCGCCAATGATCTCCTTGCGCGGAGCAGGTGGGTGCGGAGTGGA